TTGTGGGCTTTTGTTCCTGGGTCCCTCGCCTCTCCGCTACTCGTAGCTGGACTTTTGCTTTATCTCCTGTCTTTTTCTTCTTTTTTTCTTCTTTCTTTCGTTGAAGGCTAATCACGCTCCACAGGCTCACGAACTTTCGCTGCATACCATCGCGGTCTTCAGGTAAGGCCGTCGCGCACCCTACGAGCTGAAGACGGCAGCCCATTGCCATTAGTCTTGACTAACTCTGCGTAGTTATGAGGATCGTCTGAGCATGCACAGGCAGAGTAAGTGGCACATCATTTGGACTGGCGAATTTCCAACAATTGACTTGTTGGCTAATAATTTCTTCTCCTAAATTAGAGGCCGATGAGGCTTATGTCATTGGCAAGCGCGGCCAGTATACTCCAGTCGGTGCCTACCTCGCCGGCGACGAGATCATCAAGATTGCCCTCGAGCATGGCGCCAACATGATTCACCCTGGTAAGCTCTGCCCACTTTCCCCCACTATCGGCAAAAATCCCACCAGTCAATGGGAGGTTTTTTTGCCATGCTCGCACCACGAAACTTTGCGCCCCGCCATTCTATACGCCAGCTGGATCCCACGTTTGCCAGCTGATGCCACTGATCACTTATCGTTGTCAATGCGACAAGATCTACGCTACTCAAGTTTACTAACTTTGCTGTTTGACATTTAGGTTATGGCTTCCTCTCGGAGAACGCCGAGTTCGCTAAGAAGGTCGAAGACGCGGGTATTGTGGTACGTTTACCTAGCCTCCAATTGCCCATCGCCCCCATTTCCTGCATGAGCCCGAACCCCTAGCCTGCCCGCATCGCACCGAAGCTCCATATACCGTTTTTGTCTCTGCGGCCGCATCGCTCACACCCAAGCTTGTATAGTTCGTTGGCCCCGCCCCCGAGGTCATCAATGCTCTTGGCGATAAGGTATCGGCACGAAAGCTTGCCATTGCCGCCAACGTCCCTGTTGTTCCCGGTACTGAGGGCGCCGTCGAGACCTTTGAAGCCGTGAAGACCTTCACTGATACCTATGGATTCCCCATCATCATCAAGGCCGCCTACGGTGGTGGTGGCCGTGGTATGAGAGTCGTCCGCGAGGAGAAGGATCTCAAGGAGTCTTTCGACCGAGCCACTTCCGAGGCCAAGTCGGCGTTCGGCAACGGCACCGTCTTTGTCGAGCGTTTCCTCGACAAGCCCAAGCACATTGAGGTTCAGCTCCTCGGTGACAACTACGGCAACATCATCCACCTCTACGAGCGCGACTGCTCCGTCCAGCGAAGGCACCAAAAGGTCGTGGAAATTGCCCCAGCCAAGGATCTTCCCGTCGACGTACGAGACGCTATCCTGGCTGATGCCGTTCGATTGGCCAAGTCCGTCAACTACCGCAACGCCGGTACCGCTGAATTCTTGGTTGATCAGCAGAACCGCTACTACTTTATCGAAATCAACCCCCGTATCCAGGTCGAACACACCATTACTGAGGAAATCACGGGTATCGATGTCGTGGCTGCCCAGATCCAGATCGCCGCTGGTGCCACCCTTCAGCAGCTTGGCCTGAGCCAAGAGACCATCACCACACGCGGTTTCGCCATCCAGTGCCGTATCACCACAGAGGACCCTGCCAAGGGTTTCCAGCCCGATACCGGAAAGATCGAAGTCTATCGATCCGCCGGTGGCAACGGTGTGCGCCTCGACGGTGGTAACGGTTTTGCCGGCGCCGTCATCACCCCCACTACGACTCCATGTTGGTCAAGTGCACTTGCCACGGCTCCTCGTACGAGATTGCGAGGCGGAAGATGCTCCGAGCCCTTGTCGAGTTCCGTATCCGTGGCGTCAAGACCAATATCCCCTTCTTGGCTTCCCTGCTCACGAACCCCACTTTCATCAGCGGTAACTGCTGGACCACCTTCATCGATGATACCCCCTCCCTGTTCGACCTCATCGGGAGCCAGAACCGTGCGCAGAAACTTTTGGGATACCTTGGCGATGTCGCCGTCAACGGCAGCAGCATCAAGGGCCAAGTTGGCGAGCCCAAATTCAAGGGCGACATCATCCTGCCCGTACTTACCGATGACTCGGGCAACAAGCTGGACATTTCAGAGCCTAGCAAGCAAGGCTTGCGCCAGATTATCCTTGAGCAGGGTCCTAAGGCCTTTGCCAAGGCGGTCAGGGCCAACCAGGGCTGCATGATCATGGACACCACTTGGCGTGATGCCCACCAGTCCCTCCTCGCCACCCGAGTTCGTACCGTCGACCTGCTCAACATTGCCAAGGAGACAAGCCATGCCCTTGCCAACCTTTACTCCTTGGAGTGCTGGGGCGGTGCTACCTTTGATGTTGCCATGCGCTTCCTTTACGAAGATCCTTGGGACCGACTCCGCCGCATGCGAAAGCTCGTGCCCAACATCCCCTTCCAGATGCTTCTCCGTGGTGCCAACGGTGTCGCCTATGCCTCTCTGCCCGACAACGCCATTGATCACTTCGTCGACCAGGCCAAGAAGAACGGTGTTGATATTTTCCGAGTCTTTGATGCCTTGAACGATATCAACCAGCTTGAGGTCGGCATCAAGGCCGTCCACAAGGCCGGCGGTGTTGTCGAGGGCACTGTCTGCTACAGCGGTGACATGCTTAACCCCAACAAGAAATACAACCTCCAGTACTACCTTGACCTCGTTGAGAAGCTTGTTGCGCTCGATATCCACGTTCTCGGTATCAAGGATATGGCAGGTGTTCTCAAGCCCCATGCCGCCACTCTTCTCATCGGCTCCATCCGCGAGAGGTACCCCGACCTTCCCATTCACGTCCACACTCATGATTCCGCCGGTACTGGTGTCGCTTCCATGGTTGCGTGCGCCAAGGCCGGTGCGGACGTTGTTGACGCCGCGACCGACAGCTTGTCTGGCATGACCTCTCAGCCTAGCCTTAACGCCATCCTCGCCTCACTCGAGGGCACCGACTTGCAGCCTGATCTCAACGTCCGCCACATCCGCGCCATCGATCAATACTGGGCTCAACTCCGCCTGCTCTACTCTCCCTTCGAGGCGCACCTGACCGGTCCCGACCCAGAGGTGTACGAGCACGAGATCCCCGGTGGCCAGCTCACCAACATGATGTTCCAGGCCTCTCAACTCGGTCTCGGATCCCAATGGGCGGAGACCAAGAAGGCTTACGAGCAGGCGAACGAGCTCCTCGGCGATATCGTCAAGGTTACGCCTACCTCCAAGGTTGTCGGCGACCTTGCTCAGTTTATGGTATCCAACAAGCTTGGTCTTGAGGATGTCAAGGCTCGCGCCTCCCAGCTCGACTTCCCGGTTCCGTTTTGGAGTTCTTTGAGGGCATGATGGGACAGCCTTATGGTGGATTCCCCGAACCTCTCCGAACCGACGCTCTCCGTGGACGCCGCAAGCTCGATGCCCGCCCCGGCCTCTCTCTCGAGCCCATTGATTTCGCCAAGGTCAGACGTGAGCTTTCTAAGAAGTTCGGCAAGGTCACCGACTGTGACATCGCCTCATATGTCATGTACCCCAAGGTGTTTGAGGACTACAAGAAGTTCACTACCAGGTTTGGTGACCTTTCCGTTCTTCCGACCAAGTACTTCCTCTCCAAGCCAGATATTGGTGAGGAATTCCATGTGGAGCTTGAGAAGGGCAAGGTGCTTATCCTGAAGCTTCTTGCCGTTGGACCTCTTAGCGATAACACCGGCATGAGGGAAGTCTTCTACGAAATGAATGGCGAGGTACGACAGGTTACCGTTGAGGACACGGCGGCGGCCGTCGAGAATGTTAGCCGGCCCAAGGCCGACCCTGGTGACAGCAGCCAGGTTGGTGCCCCCATGGCTGGTGTTCTCGTAGAGTTGAGGGTTCACGAGGGATCCGACGTCAAGAAGGGCGATCCCCTCGCCGTTCTTAGCGCTATGAAGATGGTAAGTTGTTCTGTTCCCCTCAGTCTACGGACAGATATATTTTGCCAAGTTCGAATGGGCTAACTATGTTTAGGAAATGGTTATCTCGGCGCCACACAACGGAAAGGTCTCGGGTCTACAGGTCAAGGAAGGCGACTCTGTGGACGGTTCTGATTTGGTGTGCAGGATCATTAAATAAGGGAACCTCGGTCGGCGGTGTCTTTGTTTTGCTTTCTCCTTTTCATGTTCTTTAAGGCTTTCACGACAGAAAAGTGTACCCAAGTTTTCATGATTCTGAATTGATGTTTCTATAAGACTTGTATCGCAACGCTAAGAGTTGCCCCCAGCATACCCTTCTCCCTCCCTGTGATGGTCGTCGGTCCCGGGTGTCCGGCTCAGCATATGCCCGCACCTATGCTCATCATCTTCCCTAATACCACGCATCGACCCGGACCCAAACTTGATGGTCGTGAGCTATACATCGGAAGAGATGTAGCTAAGATGAGGGGTGAGAGGTGGTTCCTGACTGTGCAAGTAGAGTCCAATCTATTTTAGTGTATTTAACACCACCTTCCGTAACCAGTGGCGACTAAATAGTTGCCGCTAGGTTGAACGGGATTTCATCTAGCGACCCTGCTTCATCGCGGAGACGGAAAAGATTGCCACTTGCTCGTCGCCTAGGTAGGTTTAACAATCCGAATACGGGCAAGAATTGGCGGTGCTATAGGGGAGGGTACGCCAAGAACCAAAGTAAAGAAGAAGATCGCGGCGAAATGAGAAAGAAAAAACGAAAAATATAATCAAGAGTCAAGTGAGTCCGTATTGGTTCCCCACACACCGGGAAAGAAAACGCCACCGCCAATGACCCCTTGTCCCGTATTGTCATACCGTAATTACACCTAGCGCTCCGTGGATACAAATAATAAAAAAGAGTGGAAAAAATTGTTATGATAACTTTCAAGCGTAGTGCGTGAAACCCCTACCCTCGCTGTAATCGCTCTTTGTTCCGTCTCTGAGAAAATCCCAATCTGGGGTCATGGTATCTTGTGTTGGGTACATAATATTGAAGAAGAATTACTCATCATGGGTCATCGTATCCAGGTTACGATTCGGGGACTTCGCCCTCCTCGTCCTCAGATGACCTCGGCCGCTTCGAGGCCCGGCCCTCGGATTCTCCATCCGAGTCTGACCCCTTTCTCTTAGTGGAGGTGGGCGAATCATTGCCGTTGAACCGGTGTGTCGTAACCTGCTGGCTCGACTCGGAAGTAGCCCCAGCGCCGCCATTCGCGTGAGGCCTAGGGCTTTGCGTGTATCGATCCCCCATGGGGGTTGCTGACGGCGGCGGTGTCTGGCTGGGAGGAATCTCGTCTCTCCTCCTAGTATTTTCGAGGAGGAATGCGGGAGATGGAAGTGAAGGATTTTGTTTCTTCAGCGGGTTCTCCGTGTAAAATTGCCGCATGACCTTTATGGCGCTGACACATCGGCTCTCGTCCCCGTTAAGGAAGCGCCACCACGGCTCTCCATTGACGTCGTCGATCTGCTGCCGGGTGTGGGCGCTCGCGAAGAAGATGGCACTAATGGCGATATCACGAGCTTCCATGAGAAGGGGAGGGCGGTGAGACACGCATCATTGCAAAACGTCCAGGCGGACTGCCGGAGGGTCTTGTTATGCGCTAGGTCGAGCTGGCCGAGAACTTCGAAGAGACGCTGATAAGGGTTGTCGACCATGAGATCAAACGTAAGAAGCTCCAGCATAAGCTCCTCGTACATGAGGATACTGTCTCTCCAGCGCCAGTACTCCTTACTTTGCTCATCGATAATGAGACGCGAGTTCTTCTGCGCGACACGGGCAACAGCAATGATAATATCCTTCGTCTTCCGGCAGTTTTCTTCGGTTTTGTTGGCTAAGAACAGGGCAGTTGCGGCGATATTCTAAGCTACTGGTTAGCACGAAAAAAAAAAAAGAAAAAGAGTATAGTGATAGTGAGGTCGGTCTCCTTACGTAGTGATGTATGCCGCTTTTCTCCTCCACCATGCTGTAGCGCATGTAAAAGCGATGGAAAAATACGCTTGCAACCCACAAGGTGATCTGAGGCAGATCAAGCAAGACGCCAGCTTGATAGATGAAGTTGACGCCCTTGGCCCGGCGGAGCCTCTCCTCGGCAGGCGGGATTCCATCCAAGACAGAAGGCGTGCTCAGAACCTCTTCAGACGTAAAGAACCATTGGCTTATATTATGGGGACCGGGGGTTCGGGGAGCCGAAGGGGCTGGAGATTGCGCATCTCGTCTCCTCGGCGGAGACGTCCTTGAGGAATGTGTTGGTGGGGAGGGGACTGGAGGGGGAACTTCTCGGCGGCGCGGGGGCGATCGCGAGTTGTTCTGGGGAATAGCGGGTGGCTGATAGCCCTCCCTCGGGGACGATAACGGTCGATGCTCGCCATTGCCGTAATCGGTCGGCCCTTTGCTTCGTTGTTCTTGATGGATCAAGGCTAACTCGGACTCTGGTGACTGTAGGGCAGAGTGCAACTCATTGACGTAAGATAGACGATACCGATTAAAACTAAGGCGTTCGAAGCCACTGTTGTCCGAGGTGAAAAGATTCGCGCGACCACAACTCAAGGTTGCGTGGAGATGTTTTCCTTGGATATTCTCGAGATGGATGGCGGGCTCTGGGAAAGAGACAAAAAAATGCTTTAGGTAATCAGTCCACCCCCTTGTACTATTGTTCCATAAGCACCTTCGGATGATGGCTGGTCATGGGCTCCGTGTGGACTCCGCGACTCCAGAATTCTTGAACACTGCAGTAATAGCCCAAGGTCGCAGCTTGAACTGGCAACTGGGCAGGGGCCATTTTTCTTATCACGTGATCTATCACCGCTTGCCAGCTGGTGGGGTGCTCATACGCCGCCCTTGCGAGCTGGGCGTTGTGCAACAGCGGCCAGAGACGCGGTGGAGACTGCGACCTGAAGCAATTTGATCCTTGGTGAAAGGTGAAGAAGACGACTCGTGCGCATTTCCCCAAACGAAAGCTGGTGCCCTTATTTATATCAACATCAACGTGCCGAGCAAAGGAGAAAGCACCAACCTCATGGCCAGAGGTTTCTAGACCCCTTCCTTACACTCTGACCAAGGGCCTTCACAAAGGGACTCCACGAATTGGATACCAAACGTTTCCGGCAGGCATCTTATTTTCCCCTCCGTTCCTCCACCACACATCGTCAACATGCATCCGTCGCGCCAGGCCTACGTGGAGGAGGCCGAGGCAGAGGAGAAGAAGGGGCTTTCGCTCGAAGATGTGCCTATGGATCAAGATTACGATATTCCCGGAGGCGCGGCCGGCATGGCGTCAGCGAAGGCATCGGCAATCATGTCCACGTTTAATAGGAAGCGGCTAGCAGCTACAATCGCTGTCCCTACTGACGACGGGCGCGTACGGGCGCGGCTCCGGGAGCTCGGTGAACCCATCACACTTTTCGGAGAAGGCCCGGGCGATCGGAGAGACCGTCTACGAGAGCTCCTCACAGTGCAGGCAGAGCTAGCTAGCAAGCAGGAAGGCGGCGACGTCACGATGCAGGATGCGGGAGACTCCTCAGAGGAGGAAGACGAGCAGGACGAAGAGTTTTACACGAGGGGCGGACCGGAGCTTCTCGAGGCACGAATCGACATCGCCGAATTTTCATTACCCCGGGCGAAGCGGCGCATCGCATTCCAGAAAGAAGAGTCCTCGATCCCGCTCCGCACGCACGTCAAGTTTAGAAAACACATCAAGGAGAGACTGTCCGGATTTGAGCTTCAGGGGTCGCAGACGACGGGCGAGCGACATGTGAGCATGACGCGAATATCCCCAGACGGAAAGTCGGTGGCGGTGGGCAACTGGGGCGGCACGATGAAGCTGTTCAGCCTACCCGATCTGGAGGAGGGCAAGACCTTTCGAGGTCATACGGGCAAGATCAGCGGCATCTCTTGGTTCCCGGGCGCGACGTTACCCGAGAGAGGCGTTTCGCCAGACTCGGTGAACCTCGTTTCGGGAGGGGCGGAGGGGCAAGTCCATCTCTGGTCGTTGAATCAGGATACGCCTAAGGCGACGCTCTCGGGCCACACGCAAAGGGTATGCAGGGTAGAATTTCACCCGTCTGGGCGTTACGTGGCGTCCGCGTCCGAAGACACGTCGTGGAGGCTATGGGACGTGGAAAAGACGACCGAATTGCTCCTGCAAGATGGGCACTCGAGGGGCGTGTACGCCGTTAGCTTCAACACGGATGGGTCGCTCGTTGCGAGCGCGGGCCTTGACAGCATCGGCAGAGTGTGGGATCTCCGGACGGGACGGACGATTATGATATTAGACGGCTACATGGACGGACATATCAAGCCAATCTACGGACTTGACTGGAGTTCAGACGGCCACCGCGTCCTCACCGCGTCTGCCGACGGTTGGATCAAGTGCTGGGATATTCGCAAGGTGCAACGAACAGGTGGAGTGGGGGCACACACCAATGCGGTTTCTGACGTAAGGTGGTACAAGGGGCTAGACGATCCTCTCGAAGGCATCCCCCGGAGTCGACGAGAAAGGGGCGCAGCTCCCTAAGAAGTCGGGGACCTTTTTCGTGTCGAGTGGGGTGGACCACAAGGTCAAGATCTTCTCGGCCGACGACTGGAGCCTCGTACAGGAGTTGAGCGGGCACACGGGGCCGGTAGGAAGTGTGGATGTGAGTCGGGATGGAAGCTGCATCGTCAGCGGAGGTCACGACCGGACCATCAAGTTGTGGGGCCGGAATGATGGCGAAGCGCTCTAACGCGCTTGGTAGCCACGGGCCCCCGAGCTACTCCGGGGAGTGTGAAGAATGTATATACCCTTTCTGCATGCGTGCGCGCGTGTTCCAAAATGAAGCGAGCGTCACATCTTAGACAAATGAATCTCGGCATGATACACTACCCTCTTCCGAACAAACCCACCCCTCGCGAATCTAGCTTGTTATCGATCTAATAATGTGCAAGGATACCCAGGTACGATGTCAAGAATAGTTGGGTCCATGGGGTCGATAAACTGAACGTTCTACATGGCGTTCGCACGAGGCTCGTCGCACGGGGTTTGTGCTCTGCAAGCGTCACGATAGAGCCCAGGATGAATCACTTGCCTTTCCCGGAAAGGGAAGACGGGAAGGGAGAAAAAGCGGAGTGGTAATAATAGAAGAAAGGAAACGAGGATATTATCTTTTACCCTTAGAACACCAGATTAATGAAATCCGCCGAGAAGCCGTAAAAGCGGGAGTCCGGGTACCTTTCCAGAAGCAGTAATGGGGGAAGGGACGGGCATCAACCTCGTACGTGGACATGGAGTGGCTAGGGGTCGCATAATGAGTGCAATTTGTTACACGTACACAAAGAGCTCGAGGGCTTGGAAGACAAAGCCAGCGACGAGCACCGCGAGGTTAGATATATCTCAAGAAACGATGAGAAAACAAAAGAAACCAGCGAAAAGAAGAAGATAAAATTGTGAAATGAGAATCACAACCAAGTCGAAATTCCTGTCTCAAGGAGCCACATAAAGTACACACAAAGGTGAGCTTAAGGCCATGGGCTGGCGGGATGTCTGACACCTTCAGCTGACACCCCGTCTGGACATGTGTTCCGCTGAGCCTTGGTCTTGGAAATCTGGAGGTGTGGCATGTCCGGCCGGAGCACTTCGTTCCAATATGTAATCGAAATAAATTCTTCTTTATTTAGGGAGAGTCTGCTCCCATCTGCAGGTCAGCCCAGAATGCAGGTTCCTTCCTGACGGCGCCCCCTCCCCTCCACAGGGGGCATCTCGCAAGTCATTGCCGCAGGACGCCGGACCGGGATTAGAGGTGCTGCGACCTTCCCATTGCAAATGGGAACCCCGAAGAGTCACTCAGGTTTGAAGAAATCAATTTTTTTCTTCCGAGGGGAACTTGTGTTTTTAGACCAATTTCACCGCGTCTCGCCTGAGTGTGAGTTTGGGAACGAGAAGAGGCCTCGAACTTTGGGCTCGAACTTCCAAATTTGGGTTGCGGTTACATCCGGATACGTTTGCGGAAGGACCGGGGTACTCTTTTTCTCCGCACTTTTAGGCTTGGATTAAAGTACACCTCTTCTCGATGCCAAGTACAAGCTGGCAACAATAAGGCAGGCGTGGCTGGCTTTGGGCGTTTCCAAGTTTGATTGCGGGTCCTCTCCGGCCTCGAATCGCTTGATCAAGGACGGATTGATCGTTCCATGGATATCTCGAGCCCTTGCGCTGCCAGGACAGTGATTTCAGTACACATCATTTCTTGCCAGACATCAATTCCAGACCCAGTCCATTCTCGGGGAGATCCTGGATCAGATATGCTCCACATCGTAGAACGCTAGATTTACAAGCTGATCATTGACCTTTGCTCTGTCACAAGTAAATATACCTGACAGGAACCGAACAAACTGAACGCATGAAGGGTTGTGCTTGGGTTGGAATTGAATTGATCTGTGCGCCCGCGTTCTAAAGTTTCCTCCCCCAGTTTCCACAGCCCCATCCGCGCCTTCCCCCTTTGTCTCCCGCCTTACACCAATACTTGTTATTGTACCGAGTACCTTGTGGAGGGCTTTACTTGTATTTCTTCTTTTTTTTTTTTTCTGGCCCCATCCTCCTCCGTCTTCCCCTTCTCTCTTCCCTCCATTCACGCACATAGGTGAAAACCAGACAACGACATATACCGAAAAAACTCTAGCTTTTAGCAACCGCGAGATTTATACCGAAACGAACTAGTCCTCAATGCATACGCTCAAACAACCTTGCGAACGTTCTCGTCTCTTCTTCAAGTCCCTCATGCTTGAGCCCAGCCACCAGAACCAGGTCCGAAATTTCCAGTTTGAGCTTCGAGCCGACGCTGAGCGCCGACGAGGGACACTTCGTGAGGCATAAATATCTATTCCGCCGTGAAGTGAAGCCTAGCTTTCATTTCGAGGCAAAGCGAACGAGGAGATCGTATACGTAATAGTATACAGGGCTGTCGACTCGAGAAACTCTTACTTGCGAGCCACTCCGCCGGCCCGCAAGAGCTCCTCCTCGGGAGGGCGTCGTTACCTTGAGTTCTCCGAGTATTTTGTTCCTCTCAAAGACCCAGGCTGTCTACGGACGGCTAGGAGGATTTTCATCCTCTGTCATATCGAAAAAGTACCCGCCTTGAGCCTCTGCGACAACCCCCGCTGGGTCTCCCCGAACCCGATCCTAACGCCCACTTACACCACCTGCTCCGGAAAAGATGTCGGCGCGAGCGATCCCCGCGCTGACCACTGTGCGCGGGTTTACCGGTGCCCCGATCGTGTCCGGCGACGAGGACTCGGACTACAGTACCGCCTGCGAAACCCCTCCACCCTCCACCCGCCATGCTCGGCCCCGGTTTGACGACGTTGTCAGCGCCAACTGCAGCCCCAGCCTGCGGCCCGTTGCGTCTCCCGCTGTTTCTGGTATCGCGAAGCTCCGCCAAGCCATGGAACCCCTCAGCCTCGACGCGAGCTCCCGGACGAGCACCCTGACTCTTAGCGGGAGCCAGCTAGGGTTCCCGCGCTTTGGTGCCAACCACAATGGTCTGTCCAGCGTTGGCATGAGCCGTTGCGGCAGCCGCGACACGGTGCATAGCGACGCGTGCAGCGAGGGTTCTGATAACTCAACCAGCTACGAGGTGAGCCTAGAGCATGACTTTGTCAGTGAGACAGTCCGCGAAAAGTCGGCCATGTTTGGCGCCGTCGAGGAGGCCTAGTCCCACGACGCAAGATGACGACCGAGGACTTTGAGCCTCTTCGTTGCCTCGGCAAAGGCGCATACGGCACCGTCATCCTCGTCAAGCAGAGAGTTTCGGGTCGGCTCTACGCCCAGAAGCAGCTCAAGAAGGCCTCGCTCGTCCTACACAAGAAGCTTGTGGAGCAGACCAGGACGGAGCGCCAGGTCCTAGAGTCGGTCAACCGCCACCCCTTTGTGGTGAAGCTTTTTACGCCTTCCAAGATCAGGAGAAGCTCTACCTCATTCTAGAGTACGGTATGGGCGGTGAGCTCTTCACCCACCTCAACGCCGAGAAAATGTTCACGGAGCCTGTGGCAGCCTTTACATGGCCGAGATGCTTCTTGCTATCTCGCACCTGCACAACGATCTCGGCGTCATCTACCGCGACCTTAAGCCGGAGAACTGCCTCCTCGACGCCGAGGGCCATCTTTTGCTCACCGACTTTGGTCTCTCCAAGGTCTCGGCCGAGGATACCGACACTTGCAACTCGATGCTCGGCACCGTCGAGTACATGGCGCCCGAGGTCATCAAGGGCCAAAAGTACGGCAAGGCTGTCGACTGGTGGTCGTTTGGCGCCCTGGGCTACGACCTTCTTACCGGCAACCCGCCGTTCCGCGGTGGTAACAATGCCAAGATTCAGGACAACATCGTCAAGCAGAAGCTCGTGCTTCCCTACTTTATGACGCCCGACGCCAAGGACCTCCTCACCCGACTCCTCAAGAAGGACCCCACCAAGAGACTCGGCGCTAAAATGCCCAAAGACCTCCAAACGATGAAGAATCACCGGTTCTTCCGCAAGATCGACTGGAAGAAGCTCCTAGCCCGACAGGTTACCCCACCCATCCAGCCCTTCATCACGGATCCCGAGCTCGCCGAGAACTTCGATCCCAGCTTCACCGAGCTCTCTCTGAGCCCTACTGTAGCCAGTTCCCTCGACCACTGGGCCGGGCTTACCGGTAAGGACGCCGGAGATGACCTGTTTGGCGGCTTCAGCTTTGTCGCTCCCAGCAGCCTCCTCGAGCGCCATGAGAAGGGGTTGGGTGTCACTTTTTGAGTGCTTGCTTGCGTGTAAGCGCCAGCCTCAGGGGTGGGCGAGTGGGTGAGAGTGTGTGAGTGAAAGGGCGAGCGGGTGAGGAAGAGAGACACAAGGCAACCCCACCGTAAAGGTCCATGGCCCAGTCTGCTATGTGTGTACTGCTTTCTCTATTTCTGCCGTCTCTCTACTTGCTACATGTTGGGTGGTGCGAATCTGTGAGAGTGCGTGGAGTGCGTTCTGCAACGCCTGCCTGTCTAGGCTCAATCCCCTTTGGGCAGGCAGGCAACATTGAGCGTTTGCTAAGCGTTGCTATGGTTGTGTCTTGTGGCATCCCTTTTTTGGTGCGTGAGAGAGGGTGATATGGGGAGCTTCGCTTTCTTTTTCTCCATCCCCTTGCCGGGTTACATACGTGCTACGCGCGCTCCGCTTGGGATCTGGGCTCTTCTCTTTTGCTCATTTTCTTTCTTTCTTTTTTTTCACTTTTGCCACATGCTCCGTTTGCTTCTTTTGATGGTCAGCGGGCTGGTTTTTCTTCATCCATACACATTTTTATCAAGCTTCTGTGCTTGGGGTCTCCCGGTCTTTCATTGCCGTCTCCCCCACTGGTCTGCCGTAGTTATGATACCGTGCTGGGCTGTGATGCGAACAAGCAACCACCTAGTTACCTGGTCACGGCAACTCGGAGGCTCCCCGCCATGGCTACCCTCGTCATAACATCTGGCCCCGCCGATGCTTTCAAGATACTACATGTACGAGAAGATGCAGTCGGGATGCAGTGGGCATAGGCATGCATGGCTGCGCAACGTTGCCAAGGATTGCGCTTACGCATCCATAGTATTCAGACTTCTCTCTAGCGCGTGTAGCTCACATCTCGGGTCTCGTCCAGCTTCTTAGGGTCCAGCCCCAGCTTCGCTCCTAGGGTTGATCATCTTTAATATGAACAGTACGCGTCGACCAACAGGCAACGGGCGGCCCATACTCTGCTCACTTGGGCTGTACCAAGGCCGGCCTTTTGCCATCGACGCGTAATCGGACGCCGACTAGAGCTGCATCCTCTTTTTTTCCTCAGTGCCGTTGTGATATGATGTCCCGTCTGCGTCAAGAGGTAACAAGTAGCCCCAACATGCCCGGTACGGTGCAACCGCAAAAGCCACCAAGGGCAGATCGACGTCTCACGGTGAGGAGAAATAACGCCGTGACCCCCTCCCCCAGGTTTCCTTGGAGTGGGTGGCAGTGCAGAAAAAGATCTACGTTCGAGGAAAGAAAAGTAGCCGTCGAACGTGGGCTCACTACACTTGAGCGATAGAAGACTAGAAAGCTCTACGTAAACATGTCATCCACCCTGCTCTGAAGAAACGAGAAAGAAAGAAAGAACAGCGAGGATAGGTCTGGGATATTCAGAAGGCGAAGTGGGTAGGCTGGGCAGACATCAGCGAGGTAGAAGATCTGCGCGACGAAGCATGTTCAGCTCATTGTTCGTGACGTACATACGCTCAACCTTCTCGAGCGTTGCCCATGCAGTCTACGCAATAGTATTATGGAAACCCATGTGGCCGGTGATTAACCTTGAATGTCTCGATTCCTGAAACGGGATGGCCTTCTTCTCGTCTTCTGTTTCGAGGAGCCCTGCCCCTCCAAGGGAAAAAGAAAGCAAGAAAGAAGAAGAAGGGAAAAATAAAACAAGGAACATTGAAGAGTCCCTTTACAAGGTAGCTTGCCTTGGTATTTTTTCCTTGTTCGTTTTTGTCAAGTCTGCCGGGCGCTTCCGAGGGGCCAACCCCCGGACCGGCAGCATCTTTCTCCTTGTATGTTTCTGCTTTCCGTTCGCCTAGACCACGTCCCCTGTTCCTGGTGAAGATCATATATGCGAGTCTTTTGTCCCCGCAAGATCGACGCGCTCACATTGATTATGAACACTCGACGTTGGTACCGCAACGCCCTCCTGACTTCGCTCTCTCCGGTTTCCCTCCTCGGGGGCCGAGGGAGAGCTTTGAAATCAATGCGAAAGTCTAGCCCCGTCCCCTCCTCCCCCAGCTGCACACCCCAGGTCTCCCGCTGTTCTGGAACACTCGACTCGTGATATTTATGGCTTGCTGAAAATGACTATGTTTGAGAGAGAAAGGTTTTTTCCGGAGAGGAGACTAATAGAGAGGACCTTTGAACACGTAGAAAAAGACAAAAATTTACAAAAGCAAAAACGAAGCAAGGGAGAAGACGACGACGTCAAGATCAGCCGCGCGCGTACGGTCTTGTCTCCATGGGCATGTAGTTTTAAAGAAGCCAGGAGCGAGCAGATGATTGATTCACATTCGCTTTTCAGCGCTTCCCACCAGCCCGAAATTGCGCCAAACTATCGATTCGTTCGGCAATGGGCCTGCTCCTCCCTGCATACACTACATCCTCAAGGTGCTAGCCGTTGGAAGGGGGCCAAAACAGGCTCAGCTACGATTGATCGAGACGAGATGGGCGGAAAGGCAAGATGCGGCTGGACACTAAAATCGCACATCAGGGCCATCCATCGACGACGCAGGAGCTGGTTGATTGGGCGCATTGATCTTGTCGACAAGTAGAAGTAGAGCGTAGCAGGGTATTAGAGTTCCAGGCCGTTAGCTTACCCGGGCGCGAGTGTGTCTGGCCCGCTGTCAGCCCTCTCCACAACGTACATCAGGATGCCGATACTAGAGCCCATCAATACATCTATCCATCCATGGATGGATGTAGTTTCCAGTGCTGTGTGCTCGCTCCCTGGCCCCACGATTTTCTTCCCTCCCGCCTCGCTTCGGGGAACAACGCTCCCTCTTCCAAAGCCCCACCGCGACTTACGAGGACAGGCTCTCAGTCAGCGGCTGAACGACCTCGTCATCATCTACGCCCCTTCTCCGCTTTCTCTTTGGAGAACCAGACTTGAATAGACCCCGAGAACTCTCTCCCACAAGGAGGAAAAAGAAACAGGGCCCCCACCTAGTAGTCAAGTCGTTGATGGGTTTTCACCGCTGCTTGAGGAGCACACAAGTACGCTTGCCACATTCACAGAATCTTGGTTGATAGACAAGTGATTACGTCGAGAAGGGGTCTATTGGACCACTGATGCTTGGCGGCGCAAAGGGAATTGCGCGTCTTGGGTGGCTTTTACTTTTGCCCGACGTGCATCGCAGAGTTCTACCGACCCTCGATCCTCGACTGCCGGAGGTGGCACTGGCACCAAAAAGAAGAAGGAAGAAAAATCGAGAACCAAACCTCTGTCCTATCAGGTACGGGCGAGCAGGGAAGAGCTTGTCCGAAGTTCATGGGCTCCCGCACCCTCCCCCTGCCAGCTTGGAAAAGTGTTTACGCGGCCCCATGCAGAACGGCCCAAGAGAGGAAGAGAGGGGTTCCGGGATAGATGATGATCTATGAGAAGCTAGATCGAACCAATTCCAGACGTAAGATTCGACAAGGAAATGGATGGCTCGACGAGTCAGGGCCATGTCATTACTACTAACTAGTGCTGGTGCAATGTGTGACGGCGTGGATGCGAGTGGGCATACTGATGAAGGAGGGGAAACAGTGGCCGGTCCGAGAAGGCGGAGAAGGGGAGGAGCAGCAGCGAATGACAGACGATGGGAATGAATCTGTCCGGAACTGCTTTCGAGGACTGAACCAAGAGGCTTGAACTAAGAGCCCGCCCCAGGGCAACGGCGTCCTGCGCCTTTAGGGGAGAGTGAAAAAAATGTGAAGGAAAGAAGAATTCTCGTCGTCCCTTGCCTTTTCCCCGTCGCTGTTTCCAAGCGCCTCCTGCGTCCGGGGTAAACAGGACGGCGTCTCAAGTTGTCCTGGGCGGGTAAATCGCTGACGGTGAAGGGAGCCCTCGCCTGCTTCTGGATCGGCCGGAGAGAAGAAAAGCGTTAATCGGTACAGGCTGTGTGCGTGCCCCCGGTGGCTGGCCTACAGTTCAAGTTCACCGATCCGATGCGGGTTCCTCTGCCCCAGTCCTAATTGAGCGACTTGATGTTTCGAATTGTGGCTAATTGGCCCCGGGCTCTCGAAGCTCCATGTGCACGACACTACCCTCCACACAGCATGTCCGCTCCGGAGGTACACACTCCTGCACTCCTGCGCACTTCATGTCGCGGAGGCTCACAAAGACTCGAATGAGCCCTCCGGGCGCATACGTCGTACTCTACTGCAAGTATTCTTGCCTCTGTCGGTGTACATCGGCAGTTGAGTGATTGAGAGATGTGTCCATGTTCAGTGCAGGGAGGCGAGGCGAGTGACCTTGTCTTAATCTTTCCTTTCGCCCTTGCCGCCTTCCTGGCATCTATGAACACTTGAACATTGATCTTTTACGAGGCAAGGACAAATAGTGAGCCAAGGGAGTCGGCCCTCAGATCAAAAATAGAGTTGGTCTGTTTGCTTTCTTTTCGGGCCCTCTATTCGCTCGACTAGAGCGGGCCGTGGCCGAGGCCCCCGATTTGGGGGTGGCGGCGCACATGAGAGTTGAAATGGAATTTAAGGCTAGCGGGAAAACTGGGAGCCGGCGTCTAGCAGCGCAGGGCAGCCTTGGTGAATGTGTACATTGACCCGTCCCATTGTCATACAGCATACCGAGGTACACGGCAATGAGCTTGATGGCAAAGCCTCCACCAGAAGCGTACTACACTGCATTGTGTTGCCATCTGCCGAACATCAAGATACACCGCGGGCTCGATCCTTTGTACATCTTTGATATCAGTACACATAAACTGCGATAAACGTGCAAGAAGCGCATCAGGTAGTGATAAATGATATCTAGACCGAAGATGGCGAATTGGGTCTGATAAAGTGGGTTAAAGGCACAAAATGGTGGAAGCGAATCCTCGCGATGCTGTCAGCAATCTTTCCAGTTCCACTTGGAACGAACCTCAATGGTATATGTACCTGGACTTGTACGTGGGCCAGCGTTGAACGTGGGTATCCGAGGTACTTCGTACATGGATGGAAATAGATCCATTGATGTGATATTAGTTGACTGAATAGATTGGCCAATTGTCGGCCGCACATTACTACAAAGCGTAGTCAATCTATCAAGTCTTTGTTTCTGGCCCTCTCCTCGCCTCCTTCGGCAGGCCCATCCATGCTGGAGAAGGGATGGGAAAGTGATGACGAAGTGATGGGGGACGTGATCCGTTCGCATCGCCAGCCACATGGGAGGATAGAGGAGCTAGGAATATCCCTCGACGGTGAGCACTTCCTTGAGGCCTGTCACTTATGAAAGCATTACTTGATCAATCTTGACTGGAAGGTCCTGGTTGTCATCTGTCATGTCTTTCGAACCGCTCAGCGCAGACGTAAATGATGGAGCCCTCTATGGCTTCTAAAGGTCATGTATTAAGAGTGCTGTTGTGTTCGTGTAATAATGGATGAACCAAAATGGCAGGAACGCTCGGCGGCAGCGCACTGTCAATCAACTCGATTGCTTATTCTCAATTCATGCGTCGTCCGCCAACCAAATTTCGCAGTCTAACACGCACTCTCAGGGTTGATGCTCCATCCAGTCCAACATTTTCCGCAAGCTTCAACGGGTTCTTTCTTTTTGGCTTTCATATTTTCCGTCTTGTTTCTTTTTTCCCCGTGCATTTCCCGATTTCCTCGGCACAGGCGACGACATCATTCGGTCCAAAGGGCAGGGGGGTGCGATCTGTGAAAAGAAAAAAGAGGAATGGATGGATCTCTCCAACTCCCACCTTCAGGGTCTTTTTGAGTTGGACACCGTCGACATTTCCCGTCCCAGGAAAGAAGAGGTGGTCCCGGCGCGGGGCCAATCGTCGGCGGGCTCAGCCCTCCCTTTCGCAAAGAGGAAACACCAGAACGGGCGTATCCAAAACGCTTCAAACGTCGGATAACACGCACCCCTTGGAGTCAAGTCTGGGGCAAGACTTGGCTGTGCCAGGCCACGCCAGCCTGCAGGACACCAACGTTGAACGCAATGCCAAGCCGAGAGCTCATAGGGCAGGACTGACGGAGACTTGACATTTTGGGGGCATACATCATCAATTAGACAACAATTACTCATGTTGCAATGCCAATCCGAGACTCTGCCCCCCAGCGCGAGGGAGCCAAGGCGATAATATTCGTCAGACACCTCGGGGCCAAATAGGGCAGGACAGGCAGGGCAGGGCAGGGCAGGATTGAACAATGGATCAACCCACCTCCGACTCCGAGCCCTTGTTTCTTCAGGTGCCCTGGTTTTCTGTCTAATATTAGTGCCGTGGACTTGAACACTCCGTCCATAGACCCATCAATTCAATGGACATATATGTGCTCTAGCTGGCCAAAAGTCTCTTCTCTAGGGCTGGATCAGTATCGAAACAGTGCCTCATCGCCGCCTAGGACCCGGACCCCTTCTTACTCTCCTTTTGCTCTTGTTGGCTCTATAAGCCATCATCTCTTTTTCTTCTTTAGGCTTTCTTTCGTTTGTTTGACCACACGAGCCATAATACGAGGGCATAGTCCCATGGGAGCAGGCAGGCCACATGAGTGAGCCCTTACGAATACCACCTCGTGGCCCATGCCCCTGCCCGACCACCCAGCATTGGCACTGGTACTGGCGCTGGCATTGGCAACGTTCGTCAACGATCAAATGCGATCAATGATGCAGGCAGGAGCTCGGGCAGCATTTTGGCTTGTGTCAGTCAGGGTCGAGACTCTTTGTTTTGAAACTTGCGCGCGCACGACCCCAGACACCCGATCGTCTGTTCGCCCCCATCGTTGACTTCCTTTAATCTTAATATCTCTTTCATCGAGGTCAAGTGAGGGGAAGGTGGGAAAGAAGGATCTAGGGAGACGGTGATGACGATGGAGATGGAGGCTGCGAAAGAAGAATTGACCTTTGTGAATGAAGATTGAAAAGAAGCCCGAAGACAGGGGCACTTGGCTGGCTTGAGCTCTGGGGAAGGAACAGCGCGGTGGTGTTCCTCCTCGCTCGCTCATCTCCTCGGCTGGGATGGACATATTACGAAGTATTAATCGCTAGGAGCTTATCCGGCAGGCGCCACACTTCAACCCAGCCGCCCTCTATTTCACTCGATTGGGAAGTGGTCCAGGCTCAGCCCCCGACAAGCACAGAACATTTGAAGTCTCCCGTCCTGCGGCAGGCCCGAGGGGAGGGGAGGGGATGGATGAACATGAAGGATTGAATCGATAGAGATTGGTGAGCATCCAAGGTCGAGTGTGGGTCGAAATACCCCCATCGCCCTGCACCCTCTTCACGTTTCAAGTGTCCACACACGTTGAGTGTGAATACCCCGAGGGACGACGGTTGTGAGCTGCAGCCCCTACCCTTACCCCCTTGCAAGTATTAGACCAACGAGCGCGCAGTGATTACGAGGTGTTGCATTTCTCAGCAACGGGTCCATCCAAGATTCATTGGGCGTGGACGGCGGGGGCAGGCTAGGCGCTGCGACAGTCTCTCTTTTTTCGGCGTCGCTGGCATGAGAGAGGAGAGATCGTGATGAATCCAAGGCAAAGCAAGGTAATGCGCAAGGGATAAGGGGAAAGAAGCAACATTGAACGAGGAAAAAAGGGAAAAAGGAAAACACATCAAGACCGCCTCTTCATCGCGTGCCCCACAAGGGCGATCTGAATCTCAAGTGAAGAATACGTGAAGGTGTCTCGGAGCCCCGAAAAACAATGATTCCGCCGTCGTTCCTACGCAGCCAAGAAGGAACATTATCTCGCCGGAGACCAGGTTGCTCCCCCATGAGACAGATCGCCGGTGGCCTTTTAAAATCTAGTGCAGCTCCTCCTCCTCTTCTTCTTTGATCAACATGATGCCAAAGCTATCCAGCAATACGATGGAAAAGAAAGAAGCTGATCCTGGCAGAAGATGAGGCTGGAAACTAGACAGAACAGAACCCCCAAGAGACGAAAATCATCCTGAAAGAGAGGTCCGGAGACAGGCGGGACTGTGTCCAGGTCTGGTTAATAACAGTCGCCGTCCGGTCGACGGTGAGAAAGCCCACCTCCCGGAAGAGCCAAGCCAAACGTTACCCAGAGGTTTCGAGATTCGAGACCGGTGGCCCAGACTTTTGTTTTTTCCCCTTTGCCCTTGTTCTCTTTATTTCCCCATGCTTTTCGATGACGATCCTGAAGCACCCTGCGCGGAGCATCATACAAGGACGTCCTCCACCCACCCGTTCACCAGGTACGTCGTAATTGATGTGTCCGAGAAGGGAAGAAAAAGAAAGAAAGGACAGAAAAGAGAAGAAAAAAAGACACCTGCGCTCGTGGCCGGACTGGAGACAGGTCTAGATGCAGGGTGAGATGCAAGCACACCTCGCACCGACATCGAGAGAACCCCAGCCCAACCCCGGGACCCCGTGGCGTTCCAGTGCCCTCTCCTCCTCAAGCGCTCCGCCATCCATCCTCCTTCTGGGTGTCCTCACCACATTGATCCATCCATTCCGTCCCATGTCGCAACTTACACGCCCCCTCCCCCTTCCTGTTTCCCGCTTTTGTTTCTTCCTACCACACCCTGTTCTGGGCTCTTGCTTCACCATCGCCCTCCCCAGTCTACACCGGTATAGCAGAGCCTTGGTATTATCCTGCTCACCCTCTGGCCTGGGAGAGCCCGTGAATAAAACATAGAGGGTCCCGCCCACACACCCGTTCCTCTTCTCTTTTCGACTCTTGAAGTGAATGACCTTATTTTTCTAATCCCCTTTGCTGACGGCTTCTTGTTTCTTCCGTCCTTGGGAAAGCCATCTATTCCGTGTCTCTTTTTCTCTTTTAGTGCTTACTCTCTTCATCAACCTCCTTTCCCTTCACTTCCTCCTGCGACAAGTGTAATTGGATCTGTTCCCCGCCCTATCCGACTTGCGGTCCTGTCGACTTATACTAGAGTTTTAATCGTTCCGATCCCTCTCTACCTTGAAAGACTCGAATCCAGCCGAGCTAGTTCTCTCACCACCATCGTCTGAGTGTCGAAAGAGGTTTACCCCTCCAGACACCTTTCTACTTCATTTTTTCTTCCTTCGTCGTCTTGATACTTCGTCCTGGGGATGAAGTCGTTAAAGTCCTACCTGGCCTCGGCCAGTTTGCTCTGTAAGTTTTTGATGCGGACGCATCCCCCACACCCCCACCGTTAGCTCCCATATATGACTAACACCTCCGCGATGCTCTGTAGTCGCGAGCACGGTATCCGCTCAGTTCCGGTACTGCCCCATCGATCGCGAGTTCTGCATGTCCGTCGCCGTTCCTCAGGTATCGGCCCAGTCCGGCTCCGGCAACCTTTACTTCCAGATGGAGGCCCTAGACACCTACACCTGGGTCGCCGTCGGCACCGGCTCCTTCATGTCCGGCTCCAACATCTTCGTCCTCTACCAGGACGGCAACGGCAACGTCACCGTGAGCACCCGCTCCGGCACGGGCGCAGCATGCCCGCTTCCAGAGCGACACCCAGATCGAGGTCCTTGCCGGCTCCGGCGTCTCGGGCGGCGTCATGCGCGCCAACGTCCTGTGCCGCAACTGCGAGTCGTGGAGGGGCGGCTCCATGGACCTGTCCTCCACCTCCTCGCCCTGGATCGCTGCCTGGAGGCCCGGAAACCCCTCAACACCGCCGACACCAACGCCGCCATTGCGCAGCACGCCGACTTTGACCAGGTCAGGATTGATCTCACGCAGGCGGCCGTCACCCTGGACGTCAACCCCTTCCTGACCGGCGGTACCACGGGCGGGACCGGAAACAACAACGGTAATACTGGCAACACTGGTGGTAACACCGGAACGGGTACCGGCAACAATGGCAACAACGTCGGCGGCGGCGGTAACCTTACTGGTGGAAACAGCGGCGCCGGCTCTGGCAACAGGACCGTGAACCTGGTCCGCGTCCACGGCATCCTCATGGCCCTCGCTTTCGTCGTTCTGTATCCCATCGGTGCGCTCCTGATTCCTCTCGTCGGCAAGTGGTACATTCACGCCGGCTGCCAATCCGTGGCCTTTTTGGTGATGTGGGCTGGTTTCGGCACCGGTTATATGAGGGCGAACGCTGGCGGCATTGTAAGTTTTCTTTTTTTTTCTCTCCTTTTCTCCTACTCTCTCTCCACTACCCCAAATCAAGATTTCACACGAGACTAACCCGTGCGGCTCCCCAGCTCTTCAAACAAACCCACACCATCCTCGGCGCCATCGTCACCTTCGCCATGGTCTTGCAGCCCGCCCTCGGCATCCTCCACCACCGCTACTACATGAAGCACAAGGCCCGCGCCGCCGTCAGCTACGTCCACATCTGGTACGGCCGCGTCCTCTTGCTCGTCGGCGTCGTCAACGGCGGCATCGGCCTGCGCATGGCCGGCTCTCCCAGCCCCTTTGTCATTGCCTACGCCGTGCTCGCCGCCGTCATCGGCGCCGCCTACGTCGCCTCCACCCTCGTCGGTTCCATGCGCAAGAGCAGGGAGTTCAGGAGAAGCAGCCCCGAGCGGCTCTTACTCCCCAATTACTCCACCAGCGGCGGCGCCGGCGGCAACTACAATGAGAGCAATTATAACGGCAACTACCCGAGGCGCGAGGACATCCCCGTGCAGTTCCAGTTCGAGAGGAGGGGACCGCGGCGACCGCGGCGATTATCGTGGAGATTATAGGGGTACCGGTAAACCAACTGCGCGTCATTGAGGCGTGGTATTATCCCCTCTTTTATGCGTCTTTCTCTTCTTTTCGGTCACTTCCAGTCCTTTCGGGCAAACCATCTCCTTCACCGACTAAAATTCGTCATGACTGGAGTGTGTGCGAGGGGGCCTCGGGTGTCCTAATGTTTTCTCATGTTTGATTTCAACGTTCCTTTTGTTCTATTTATTTGGGGCCACTATACCAGGGAATGGGCTCTCTTCAGCGGCTGAAGAAGTGTGAAAAGACGGCTACGGATGGTGTTCATGGAGTTCAGGAGGGTCCACAAGGCGGCCACGTTGGTTTCGGGGTTGCTTCATGACCTCAACACTCTATCATCTCATCCATTGATCTATAATTGTATTCTTGTACTCGGCTTCGGGTTTTGGGCGGCAGAAGTAGTATGACCATTTCATCATCTTATTCCCTCTCTTTTTGACACCGGCCAAGAGGCGATGTTTTTCTCTGTGTGAAGTCAATGTGAAGAGACGCTGCCTGTCCACCAACAATGTTAATCTTGAACCTTGGCGCATCCTGCCTGCATTATACACAGTAACCAAACCATGTCCCCAAGCCTCCAAGATGGCGTCAAGCGCTCAGTTCTCGACGCTGTCTCGTAGCCGCGATGGCCGTATAGCGCCTGCTAAGTTGCTTCAACAAGTCGAATCCAATGTACTCAATTGATGGGTCCGATATGCGGCTGATTACGCCATGATTCATCCCTACCCATTATCGCCTTGGCCGCTGGCTTCTCAACCCACACCTCAACGCAAGTGCGTTAACGAATGAGGGCTGAAAACAAGTCTCACGCGCAAGTAGATAGGCAAGGGCATGTGTGCGTACCGTTTTGACTTTGTTTCATTAATTGACGTATCTTTTGTTTTTTTATCCCTTCTCTCATCTCATTTTGGTCTCAGCCCGGGGTTCTCCTTCCTAATGGGAGAACCTCTATATAAGGCTCAAACGGCCACCTATCCACTTGCTCGTTTGACAAGCCCACAAAAATTCGCTTTTCAAAGACCAGCGCCCGTAAAGGTAGAAAAAGAGGGGGAAGCGTGGAAGCGTAGATATTGCCTTGGCCAATCGACTAACTGTGTTTGTTGACGTCCAGTGATTATCGACGGGGAGGGTTGAATCCGGGGGAGGGGGCCCGCCCGGAGAAGCCAGGAGGAGGGAAGGGGGCGTTCGGTGCGAAGCCGCCAGGGGAAAGCCACCTGGGAACCCGGGAGGGGAGCTGCGTATGTGTTAAAACGTGACCTTTGATGGGAACGATGACGACCTTGGTTGAACATACCTCCACGTCCAGCGGGGAAGCCGGGCGGCGGCGCAAAGCCGCCAGGGAAGCCGGGGGAGGAACACCGCCTCCTACACCGGCAGCAGGACCCTATGGAACAGATAAAGTTAGAAAACAAGTCGTTAAAAAGATGGCACGTGCTAGGCAGAGTCGATGTGTACATACAGCGAGGCTAGGGGAGGAATGGGCGCTCCACGGCCGGCAGCCCGAGCTACGCCGGGCCCGGCAGCAAGAGTCGAGGCAATACCGCCAGAGCTAGTCTTTCCAAGTCGCGTGCTAGGGTCCGCAGGAGGGGCGACTCGACCGAGAGGGAGACAATGTGGGCGCCGCGGACGATAGTGAGGCCGAGGGTTCGCTTGGCCTCGGTTTCGACGGTCTGGCTCGAAGCGCCGGGAGCCCCGCCGGTCTTGGACTTGGTTCTGATTTTCCGGAACTCTTCGGTATCGGCTAGGACGAGATTCATGTGCTAAATGGGCGTGCGTCAGTATTGCGCGATCGTGTAGAGGGTCGCGTCGGAGGGTGCGGGGGTTGGAGCGGCGAACCTTGTCAAAGGCAAGCATCTGGCCCGTCATCTGCCTCCCATCGATGAGTGTAACCCTCATCCGCCAGTTGATCTAGTATCCACGTATTAATTAATCTTCTTGCACGAATCGTTGGGGGAGGAGGGGATTGCGAGGCTGCCTCTTGGTGCGCGGCGGCGGGGACATACATAACCGGCCTATAATGTTTATCGTTAGTTGCGTGCGGTGAACAGGAGGGGAAGCTCGAGAACGATTTACTTACCATCTTGCCTTGCTTGTTCATGGACGCCATCGTGTAATAAATTTGAGAATCCTTCCCGAAAGAAGAAGCTTCTCGCCAGTTCAAAAAATTGTACTTATGGTTCTATGTCATCAAGTCTTGGAAAGACTCGTGGCTCTAGACTCTGAATTGAGGAGCTATGACATGCGCAAAGGTGCCTGAAATATGAGATTTCGTCTTCCAAGGCTGCACCATTTGGGAGGGAAAGGCTGAAAACAAGCGCGACGAGGTACCTTTGCTGGGCCCAAAGCGCTTGTCTTGATTAGGTAATTAAACTGGGACTGGGGGTTGACAAAGCGGATGGAGGTACGTACCGCACTCAAGGGCACCAATGGCGCCGACCATTGGCTTCATGGCTGACCACACAGGGCAGGGCATTGAGACCCTCCCCGCGGAACCACCAAAAATTATAGGGCAAAATTTCGACGACACATCAATTTAATTCAGATCTGTGTCCATTTCTCCCAACCCACCCGCAGCCACATCCTCATCACCACCAACACACCCAGTTTCCTTGTCGAAGTTTACCTGTCCCCCGAGGCAAAAATCAGTCAAAATGGCGTCCGAGAAGTCCCAGAACCCCATGAAGGAGCTTAAGATCCAGAAGCTCGTCCTCAACATTGCTGTTGGCGAGTCTGGTGATAGGCTTACTCGTGCCGCCAAGGTGCTCGAGCAGCTTTCCGGTCAAACCCCGTCTACAGTACGTGATGTTTTTCCCCTCTCAATCTAGTTTTGGCGCTCCTTTTCTCCGGACCTAGGGATCTCTAACAATTCACCTTTTTGCAGGCAAGGCCCGTTACACCGTCCGAAACTTCGGTATCCGCCGTAACGAAAAGATCGCTGTCCACGTCACCATCCGTGGCCCCAAGGTAAGATGGTTTTCTCTAATACGCAATGGCATGAGATTCCGTTCAAGGACTAATCATAGTGCCGTGGTGAAAAATAAAGGCCGAGGAGATTCTTGAGCGTGGCCTCAAGGTCAAGGAATACGAGCTCCGCAAGCGCAACTTCTCCGAGACTGGCAACTTCGGCTTCGGTATCAGCGAACACATCGATCTTGGTATCAAGTACGACCCCTCCATCGGTATCTACGGCATGGATTTCTACTGCTGCATGACCCGTCCCGGTGACCGTGTCTGCCGCCGCCGCCGCATCAAGGGCAGGATCGGTGCCAGCCACCGCATCAACCGCACCGAGACCATGAGGTGGTTCAAGCAGCGATTCGAGGGTATCATCCGATAAATGCCTCGCCCGTCAGGCATGGATGAAAAGGTGAATGAGTGACGCTCTGCATTTGGGACAATCTCTCGGAGTTTGGAGGCTTTGAAAATAGGAAAAAGGTTCACGGCATCTGTTTGTGTATGCAGGCTGGTGTGTCCTCTGAACGCGGGTACACTCTTCAGACATACCCCTTTTACAGCTCGACTTTAATACAGTCTGAGCTCCGGCCTTAGAGACCGACCGGCACCTTGCCGGCTTGTACTGAAACTTGGTTTCTTTCTTTCTTACAGTGACTTGTATTCAATTGATGATGATATACCCCCTTGACCCACGAGCATTTCGTAGACTCTCTCATGCGCAATGCACTTGTGGGAGGTTTGCAAGATTAGTCTATGAGATAGGAGTGGTTGTCTGGCTGTTGTCTTCACAATTTGCCGCAACTTTCCAGACTGATCGTAATTCCGATCTCGCCTTGTGCTAGGTGCTCCAATGCGGAGTGCAGCCCTTCCTCCAGAGATGCTTCGGGAATAATGGGGCCCGAGAAGGGCCAAAGAAAAAAATTATTCAGCCGGTCGGTGCTACGCTTTCCTGTTCAGGTTGGTCTTGGTGAAAGAGTGGTTAGTATGAGCCCCCACTCATTACCCCGATACAGCCGAGGAAAGTCAGCTCGGCTTGCACAACTCGCCGCGCTCGCATGAGGCAACAATGAGAGCCATCCAACAACGTTCAATCTGAGGCAGTGAGCTTCCTTTTGTAAAAATAAGAATAAATCAAGAAAAAGAAGAAATTAGAATCTCTCCCATCACTGCCTTCCATGTTGTTTGTTGACCTGAGCAACCATTCAGCCAAGTGAGCTCGATTGTTTCTCGGATATAAAATCCGCACTGTATCAAATGAGAATCCACACGAGGAGCAGCAAATTTGATGAACACGGCAACCGAGAGCGCCCTTTCACCCAGCCCTTGAAAATTGTTAGCACACGGACCGGCTTACATAACACCCCTAAAAATCCGCGCACTGACACCTGATTGGCTCCTTGTTGCCAGCTCCGGGTCCGCCCGTTTCTCCCTCATCTTCCTCTCTCGACTGTCCTCTTGCAAAAATCCGCTTCCTGAACTCCTCCCCAAACGGCAGTGACAGCATCCACAATCTCCTCTCTACTCAATTGCATCGCTTTGCAATTGTTTATCCTTTTTCTCTAGACCCTTTCTAAATACCCTCTAATATGTTCAGGACGGCCCTTCGACAGTCCACCCGCGCCCTCGGCGTCTCGGGTAGGGCTGCGGTAGTAAGTTTTTGCCAGCCTCCATATCCCCGAACCGGCCTCAATTCCATCGAAAAACCATTACTCCTGATTCGGACCGCCTGGTAGATCAAGGGCCTCAATCAATTGGGCTACTTTGCATCAGGTGGTGGTCGTGGAAAACGTTTTTTCGTCCCTCGCTCCCCAGCTTGTCCCGAGGATTTGTTGTGTTTTGGATCACCACCGATTCGGACTTCGGCTAACTGGTTTTTTTACCCACCACTGTTCCAGGCTCGAAATGCCGCACCCGCAGTCTACAACGCTGCCTCGATACAAGCCAGGACCTACGCTGCCGATGCGAAGGCCTCGCCCACCGAGGTCTCCTCCATTCTCGAGCAGAGAATTCGCGGTGTCCAGGAAGAAGCTGGCCTTGCCGAGACTGGCCGCGTCCTCTCTGTTGGGTATGTTCGGACCACCCCTGTGCATCGTGCACTCAACAATAAATCATCCAAACATAGCTTCGAGGCATCTATCACGCCTCGGAAAGAGATGAATTTTCTATTTTAGGGACAAATTTCAATGGCTAACAATGGAATCAGTGATGGTATCGCTCGTGTCCACGGCATGGCCAACGTCCAGGCTGAGGAGCTTGTTGAGTAAGTTCCACCCCCAAGCTGTGTACTGCGTGTCCTACACCCAAAGCCGCGGGCTGCAATCCATCTCTCAATGATGATTGAATTGTTTGCTAACAAATACCTGCTTCTAGGTTCGCCTCCGGTGTCAAGGGTATGTGCATGAACCTCGAGGCCGGCCAGGTCGGTGTTGTGCTCTTCGGTTCCGATCGATTGGTCAAGGAGGGTGAGACTGTCAAGCGTACCGGTGCTATCGTAAGTCAAATCACCTCAATTCGTCTCAACCTGACTTCGAAGCGTGGCATTCATGACTAACGATGCGTAGGTTGATGTTCCCGTCGGTATTGAGATGTTGGGTCGTGTCGTCGATGCCCTCGGCAACCCCATCGATGGCAAGGGCCCCATCAACACCACCGAGAGGCGCCGTGCCCAGCTCAAGGCCCCGGTATTCTTCCCCGCCAGTCCGTCAACCAGCCCGTCCAGACCGGTCTCAAGTCCATCGACGCCATGGTTCCCATTGGCCGAGGCCAGCGTGAGTTGATCATTGGTGATCGTCAGACCGGTAAGACTGCCGTCGCTCTCGATGCCATGCTCAACCAGAAGCGATGGAACAGCGGCAACGACGAGGAGAAGAAGCTTTACTGCATCTACGTCGCCGTCGGTCAGAAGCGATCCACCGTCGCCCAGCTCGTCAAGACCCTCGAGGAGAACGACGCCATGAAGTACTCCATCGTCGTCGCTGCCACCGCCTCCGAGGCTGCTCCTCTCCAGTACCTCGCTCCCTTCACCGGTGCCTCCATCGGCGAGTGGTTCCGTGACAACGCCAAGCACTCCCTCGTCATCTACGACGATCTCTCCAAGCAGGCCGTCGCCTACCGTCAGATGTCCCTTCTTCTCCGTCGTCCCCCGGTCGTGAGGCCTACCCCGGTGACGTTTTCTACCTCCACTCTCGTCTTCTCGAGCGTGCCGCCAAGATGAACAAGACTCACGGCGGTGGTTCCATGACTGCCCTTCCCGTCATTGAGACTCAGGGTGGTGATGTGTCTGCCTACATTCCCACCAACGTCATTTCCATTACCGATGGCCAGATCTTCTTGGAGTCCGAGCTCTTCTACAAGGGTGTCCGTCCCGCCATTAACGTCGGTCTTTCCGTCTCTCGTGTCGGTTCCGCTGCCCAGCTCAAGGCCATGAAGCAGGTTGCTGGTTCCCTCAAGCTCTTCTTGGCCCAGTACCGTGAGGTCGCCGCCTTCGCCCAGTTCGGTTCCGATCTTGATGCTGCCACCAAGCAGACCCTCAACCGTGGCGAGCGTGTAAGTTTCAACCCCCGACCAAGCCATGTCGGATGTGACTTGGGTGTCCTTGACATGACGCATGATGCTGACAATACTCCCTTTTACAGTTGACCGAGCTCCTCAAGCAGAAGCAGTACTCCCCCATGGCCGTCAACGAGATGGTTCCCCTCATCTTCGCTGGTGTCAACGGTTACCTCGACGCCGTCCCCGTCGGCAAGATCCTCCAGTGGGAGGCCGACTTCCTCGCCCACCTCAGGTCGAGCGAGAGCGAGCTCCTTGCCATCATTGACAAGGAGGGCGCCCTCAGCAAGGACACCGAGTCTAAGCTCAAGAACGTCGTCCAGAGCTTCACCAAGAGCTTTATTGCCTAAGCGTGAAGATCTTGTTTCATTTTTGAAAAAAAGATGTGTAGATGGTAGACTGGGGTGACCGCTTCGATGGAGGAAGACATAGTGGTGCTGTTTATATACCGGGAAATCGTTTCGTCTCCTTATTGTATGTTCTCTCTGGGGTGGAGAGGACCCGTCGGAGGGTTGCGCCGAAGGAAAGGGGACGTGATGCCATCCCCACTTTCTCCAGTCAACGCACTTGTACAAATAGAGCCCATAACTCAATTGCACCCTCGATTCCTTTTGTTCTAAAAGTTATGATTTGCCATATCTAATATTTAGGCCACCTCTGGTTGGCTCACCAATTGTATTAGAGAGCATTTTTACCCAAGCTGAGCTGTTTGCCCCGATTGACCAGATTGGCCAGTTTCTCCATTGCATTTTGACTTGCTCTTGACCACTCATTAATAGATGGTGTAGACAGGTTAATGGCCACTCATGCGGTGCGCTGCTAAATTTGCCCTTCCGAGATGGGGTGGGTGGGTTGGAGATGAGACTCGTCCGTGACATCATTACGTGTGCTGATATGGTGTGCCGACCATCCCATCCCACTTGGGACTGCATGAACTTTACCTCGCACGACAACCCCTCTACATTGAGCTCACTTACGAAAGAAGCCGAGCTCGTCCCGGAAAAAAAAAGAATAGGAAAGTGAAAAAAGGCCACGAGGGCAGTCTCTCCGCAAAGGTTCTCCTAAGCTCTGGCATTCCTCTTTGGTTTCATCCTTCCTCGATCGCGCGACGACGCCTTTCTCCGCAATGCCACCTACGGAGACGCGGGAGCCCAACATGTCAATTAGAACCAAGGAGATCTTATCACGAGCCCAGCGGATGGTTCCGCCAATGCTGGAGAAGTTCCATAAAGGTGAGGCCATGTCGTAGCCCGAAAGAACCCCTCAATTACCACCCTGCGACCAAGTCATCATCGTTTCTGACATGGCTTATTCTCTGCAGGTCAGCTAGGAAGAGTTGCCGTTATCGGAGGAAGTGAGGATTACACCGGCGCACCCTACTTCTCCGCCATGGCGAGTGCAAGACTGGGCTGCGACATGGTGAGCGGCATCCCCTAGACCCTATGCGGGTAGAGGCGTTCCGAGCCCTACCTCCACCTCCATCTACGAGTTATCATCTAATACTGGCAGTCCCACGTCATATGCACGCCAGCCGCTGGGGCCGTCATTAAGACGTACTCGCCCAACCTGATGGTGCATCCGCTCATGCGACAAACGCCGTCCGGCAAGGAAGATAACGACATTGACCCGAGCCATATCGCGGCCGGTATTACTGCTATGCTCCCACGTATTCACGTCCTTGTCATCGGACCCGGGCTTGGTCGCGATCCGTTGATGCACGCGACAGTGGCTCGTGTCCTGCGCGCAGCACGGGAGAAGGAGATACCCGTGGTCCTCGATGCCGACGCGCTGATGCTTATCCAAAAAGACCCGGAGCTTGTCCGAGGGTATCCTGGCGCGGTGTTGACGCCCAACGTAGTGGAGTTTGGCAAGTTGTGCGAAGCACTCGGCGTGGATGCGGACAAGGCCGGTGAGGGCGAGAGTGGCGAGGCGGCGAGCGAATCGGCGAGGGTGGAAGCCCTGGCGAGGGGCCTGAAAGGCGTTACCGTTGTGCAAAAGGATCCAAAGACTACATCTCCAACGGGACCACGACACTGACAATCGATCTCCAGGGGGCAAGAAGAGGAGCGGAGGGCAGGGGGACACTCTAACCGGAGCCATTGCGACTTTTCTAGCGTGGAGAAAGGCATACCTAGAGGGCTTGTGGGACACGGGCGACGGTGAGAAGATTGACGAGAATGAGTCGGTAGGATTAGCTGCTGCTGCGGGTAGCGCGGTGACCAAGGTACGTGTGCCCGGATATCCCCTTTGCTAAAGGAAGCCTATTTGAATGAAGCTAAGTCATATTGGATTATAGGAGTGCTCGAGGCTGGCGTTTCTGAAGAAAGGGCGAAGTCTACAAGCAAGCGACTTGACGGATGAGGTACACGCAGCTTTTCTTAACCTTTTCGGGGAGGTGGATGGAGATGAGGGTTCCAAGTTGTGAGATGGAAGCAGAACGGCCCCCGACCTGCCTTGCCGAACATATATTGGGATATATTAGGCCTACTTCCATAGAGGATTGCTTCCGACTCCAAAGCAGCGGCTCTGCCGAGGCGCTTGACCGGATATTTTAACATGTTCCAGCTCGATCTCAAAATGACCATTAGCTATCATGGCGGACGACTCAAACGGATGCCGCATATAGAATGATATCCCCGCGAATCCGTATTAAGGGTAGTGGCTGCCAATACATCAATAGCCAGACAGAGTACTATCCCCAGTCGAAGCAACCGTGTATCAAAGGAGCCTGCTCGAAGTGGTTGGCAAATGTATAACCGCGTGGCCTTCACAGTATAGGACTCCTTCTCCGCCATGCAACGAGCACCACCAAAGTAGGACAGGTCTAACACCACCGCTTCCCGTGATATCCACACGCATGGAACTTGCACATTTTCCATTAATTGGTGACGTGTACCGCCTTTCTGGTCCCCAGCGGACTCGCAGCTCCCTCTTTGTACACTTTGGGTTGACGGGCTGCGAGTTTTTGGTCTCAAATAAGTGCTACCACACATAACGCTGTACGACCTCGCCCCATTACTCCCCGCCTGCAAGCATGAAGCACCTCGCCTCTCAAGCTTGGTTCCCACTCACCACTTTGGCCGTTGGGACCTGCTCCGGAGAGCTGGTTGACGGGTGGTAACCGGCGGCTTGGCTACACCGAAAGGCGAGGTGCTGCGGTTTAATGTGAACCATGGATGTTTTATGACATATGATGTGCTTCTGCCGAAAGTGAAGGAAGATAGTGGGACCAGGACGTATGCTTGTAGAAGTGCAGAATAGTCCTTTGGCCACCCTCTTAATACATCGTGATATAGACCGGCGCAGAAGCCGATGTCAGCAGAAGCCGATGTCAGCCCGGGCTTCGGGTTAGGTGCACTCGGGCCCTGTGGACACCAATGACGTTGAAACATTTCCCTATTCGTGGCCAATATCGATGTTCTCTTCCTTTTGGACACTTCCAAGGAAGCATCAGTCCAGATTTCCAGGTTTAGTTTCTTGACGCTCGTGGGCTCACGTCAAGTAATGTGACTCGATCTACTTGGATATAAGAATACTTTCCTGGGCCTGGCCGTGTCGCCGTGATATATTCCCGGCTACCTCGACACCCCGAGAGGCACTGAGGCTATGGCTACGGCTTGTGTGAACGGTTCAACTACGGAGGCTCCGAGAAGAATTCCGCATGTCCTAGGCACGACGCTGAAACCCGTTCCAGCCCCAGGAACGAGACGAAAGGTTGGCGAGAAGACATCAGTTAATGAATGTATACATGTAAGTGGGCGTGCGTGAGGAGTGTGCTTGTCCTTCCCTCCCCTCCTCCCCCTTTTTCCCCTTCTTTTTATTTTGATTTTCCTCTTATCTTTGTCTCAGAAAAGATTTCAACAGGCTGCGTTCCTAGCTCGGTTGCTCCAACGTGGAAACCACGGTCACCCCATCCTAGCACCGTACGAGTTTCTAATTCGATTCTGGGACACGAGGTGTCTAATACTTGTTGTGTATCGACCAAAGGTGGTAGATCTGCCTCTGACTCTCGACGATCCGGCTCTACACGCCCCCTTTCTTCGTTTCCTTCATCGAGGGATTGCATATGGACCTCGCCGGACTCGCCGATATCCTAGGACTGAAAGGGACCTGGCAGCAGAGAGAGATCGATGTCGAAAAGGGAAATGAATGGGCGGTGCAGGCTCGAAAAAGAGGCTAGAGGCGGAGAGTGCGGTTATTGCGAAGCGAAATTTTCTTTTAGCGAACAAGAGAAGCCGCTTCCCTGAATCATCCCGCCCTCCTATATTTCCCTTTCTGACATGAAGCATCTGCCCGGCGGTGTCTCATTGCATCCGCTGCAATTGCTCGCATCTATCAAAGGTAGACATATGCACAGACGAGAGCGGGCCCTGCTTGACGAGTCAGACATGCAGCGGCACCGCGCCCCCCAAAGGAAATCAAAAGGATCTCCAATGCTACCATCGTCTGCGCTTCAGAAGCAGCCTCTCCTCTCATAGAAGGCCGTAGAAGCGGTGAACCAAAAAGTGTTAGTGGGCACAAACATATTGGAGGGAGATTGAGATTCGATAGGCAAACGCTGGGTTTGCCAAACCAGGAACCACATCACGGGCTTACAAGGGATCTGCGAGTTCGACGTCGTTGCAAAGATCGCTGACCGATCCTTATTTGCACAGGATGCGCCGTTTTACCTCTACATGTACGCTCCTCGACACACCCGAGAAACCGCCTTCGGCAGATTTGGGTCTACATGCTTCCTTAAGAGAAGAGATCAACAAAACGGTAGACGTAGGGCTCTGGCCAAGCTAGGAGAGGATCTTCAATCACTAAGGTGAGTCTAAATGAAAGATGGAGTCCATAGGGACTACCAAAGAGGTTTTGGGTGAGAAGCAAGAGCCCCGTAGAGTATAGGACGTGCATGAAGGAGGCGCAGGTGGGAGAGACGGGTTGCAAGAAGACTGGCTGGGCGGCGGGATATCGGGGCGGCGGAGGGGAGGGGGGCGGAGGAGACGGAGGAGGGGAGAGGTTGGCGTTTGGATTGGAGGAGGTTGCATATCGGCTGGGAGCAAATAGATGTAGGCTGGGCGCTGGATAAACCCGTTTAGTTTCGCCTCTCGCTCTTGGTGGTGGCGTTGGAAGAAGCAAGGTGCCGGGGAGAGCGAGTCGTTTCGGCGGTGGCTGCTGCGCACGATGAGTGGGAGTCATGCCGTGGCCGCCGCTTCAAGAGAGACCCCATCGAACGATGTCCGCATAGGTGTATGCACACCCTCGCCGACCACTAAGAGAAGTGTCATGTAAGCTGCTGAATCGTGCTTGCAATATATTGAAACCTCTCGTTCTCGGGGCTCGGCGAGTGCATCCTCCGGGTGTAAGGAGGGAATGGGCCGTACATGCTTGTGACCTCGAGAAGAAGATGGGATGGTAAAAACGAACTGTGGGCGCAAGCAAGGTGTACACCCACTACGGCGAGGACGAAGCCGCGAGACGGAATAGTCACCGAAGGGTGAAGAAGACGGGATTCCATGCGACTTGATGCGCAGGATCGCTAGACGCCTGCAAGAAATCTGACGCGGGTATTGGCATGATCCTTGAGTGTCTTGTTTATCCATGTTACTGTACAACGCCGCCGGCTCTGAGCCCTAGTTTTCGTTATCCTTTTATTTCTCCTCGCGAGGATATCACTTCTTTCCTTTCTTTTTCAGGGTAGGATTTGACGGGACGGCACACACGGCGGGTGGGGAGACGTAGCGTAGATCATGGAAGCGCTACTGATGCCGCCGAAGGCTGGCGGCGATGAAGTTACATGTAAAGATTCGATCTCCCGGGTGCCTCTGCGGGCCTGGAGGGGATGTCCTCGCCGCATCCCGCGACAGCCATGCATATGGGCGCATCATGTTTGCTGCAGGCATCGCGGGAGATGAGCGGTCAACGGCACTGGCTCGCTTTGGGAAGGGGAGGGGTGTCCTCCGTGGTGCCTGTCTTCTTGTTTTCTCGGGGAGGGTGTTTCTTTTTCTCCTGGTTTTCTCTTTTTCTCTTGCATCCTCTTCGGCCTCCTTCCGTTCGCTCAACTGTCAAGTTTTCCGAGTACTCGACTCTGCTTGATGCACCCGACGCCGACACTGCAGGCCGCATAAAGGTGGAGTGTGACGGCGGATGTCAAAGTGGGACAAAAAGCCACAAGAGTTTCGCCAAAGCTTCATGACGCGAGATCCCCTTTCATTCTTACAATTTCTTGCGGATTGTGGACTCGGGAGCTGAGAGGAGCAACAATGCATTCTCCGCGTGCCTGATAGGCCATGAGCATACTTCGAGTCGGGTTGGGGTGTTCCCTGACTCGAAATGGTACCGCATTGAGAGCCTTTCGAGGACGCCATGCAGCTCTCGTCGAAATAGGGTGGGCGCTGTTACTCCTACTTTACATTGCTCACTCGAAATGCATTTGAACGTGTCATGATGGCGGAAAAAGAGGCTTCGACAGCTCTGGGCTGACATGTAGGATAGCGTCTCTTCATTTGTCCCGTTCTCTCCTCCGGCGTGCGCCGCTCACGGGCTTTTGAGCCGGCGATGCTAATAATAATTGATCTCCAATTTGAATTGATCAATGAAGAACCAGTGCCCACCACCATCACGTTCAAGTGCCGCGCCTAGAGTAGAGCCCACTGCCTTTGGCGTTTGCCGGGAGCTCGTGCGCTGCCCCGTGCCGCCCCGCCGCAGAACCGCAGTTTCCTGTGTTGGTCTGGTGTGTGCGAGAATCACCGTTTTGGGATCTGGCGCCCATTGGCCCCAAGGGCTCCGTCCATTGCATCTGCGACGCTCTGGCGGCACTGGACTGGTAGAGATGATACGCGACCTGCCCAGCCCAGCTTTCCACAGCGCGGGGCGAGACTGAAACGGTTTTGTTGATTCGGGTAGGATCTGGAAGCTGGTGTTTACATGGAATGGAATGCGTGAGGCCAAGGGCCCAAGGGTGAAAGTCTTGATGTTTCTAATTCGTCTGATCGATCAAATCGTGCGTACACGTACGAAGTAATGACCAGAGGACCAATCTGGAGCTCGAGTGGCTTGTGCTATATGTCGATGTCGGAAATCGACTCAAGGCACCTTTCTTCTTGAAATTATTCCATAAAACCAGTAGATTAGTAGACCTTGTGATTTACTTGTACGAGAAACGAAAAGAAAGGAGAGGCCGTCTCTGGATTGGCCTTTTTTTGACCCTTGATGATGCGCGACCCCCTGTCCAGGCGGAAAAAGACTAGCACCGCACCATCCCTGTACAAGAAGGTGTGGAAATCTTAATACACGACAGAGTGTTCGAGAGAAGGGAACAAGGCATCACTGAATAAAATATGATGATGGAAGTTTCCCGGATTTGTTTAGCTGCGACTCACGATGAACCCGGAAACTCTCACAAGTCGTCAGACATGAAACCTCAGTCCCTAGACTACA